TTATTATTATTATTATTATTATGACAAAATACAATTTTGTTCTTTAAGTTGCCGGTCACATTTACAGACTTTTAGAAAAAAGGATAATTTTTCATTCCTGCAAGTCCTTATGTAGCCTTTTTAAAGCTATAATTCTATATCCAAGCTTGATTTTCATGCTTAATTTAGCTGGCATGGCAGGGTAATGTGCATCTGCCAGACAAATGCCAAAGCCAAATCAAAGTTTACTCTTTGCAAACTAGTTTATTATAATCAATCATACCTTCAATGGAAAAATAATGCATGCCACTTAACCATATTAACTAGCAATGTTATAATAAAGGTCTAAAGGTTATTCCTTTCTTTTTTGTAATTGAGACTTGTTTCCATGAAAGTTTGGTTTTATTCCTATATTATTTTAGGTGATCCCTCCCAAAGCATCAGTTACTGCCAGCCTGTTGACATTCTGATACAAATGTCTTTAAAGAGGTGCCAGATATACCCTTTCCATATGCGCCTTGACTGCTGAAATATCGTGCACATGAATAATAGATGAAGCAGCACTGGCATTAGTGGATTAGTGCAGTACATCTTATTTTGTATCCTTTTTGTAGCTGTGTATTTAAACTTTGCTTCCTTTGGTTTTCATTCATGTTTTGTTGATAGTCTAAGTAACACTACACCTGGTTAGGTTTAGGCTCTGAAAAATACTTTGTTATGTGGTTGAAGTAAAAATATTGCCCCTGCAAATGATTAAACCTACAAGTTAGAAAATTAAAGTTGGCTACTGTATTTAAAAGTGACAGCAAGGGGTTCTTTTCAGGTGTAAACATCTGGAGAGTTTGGAGTGACAGGCCCACGTTCCTATAGCCTAAACCCAGATATCAAAGGGGTGATTGTGCATTATTCAGAAAGGCAAACAGCTTTGACAGCATTCCACTTTTCAATGCCCTGGAAATGTGAAGAATCTGAATATTTTGCTGACTTGGTGTAATGCATGTAATGCATATTAGGTGTTCATGAGGTATGGAGAACAGAGACCTAGAGACAACTAAAAACACTTGCCTTTTCAGCATGCTAGCTGCATATATAAGAACGCCTATATCAATGTTTGAGTAGTGGTCAGAAGAACGTAAAAAGGTATACTGAGGATAAACCAAGCCAATTCCGCTATACCTGGTGCGCGTGAGAAAATTATCAATATGTTTTTTGTTACATTTTTGTTTGGTGGTGTGGTTTTTCTAATGTGAAATATGTGCTGTGGCTCCAAAAAGTTGGAAAATACTGCCCTTTATAAACAAAATTACTGATTGCATTATGAAGAATTATCAACAACAACATTTTTATACCACACACAAAACACATTTTTATCCGTTATACATTAGTATGCAGCCTTTCTCTATATCCACAGTACTTTGCTGTGCTATAAATTGCATATACAGTGCACCCTGAAAAATGATCCTAAAACCTGGGACACTGCAGTTCATGGTCAGCCTTTGAATGGTGTCTTTTCTGCTTTGTATGTCATCTGGCATACTTCTGAACAGTAATGTATTGGAAAGTGTAAGTTGTATTTATAAGCGTCACTATTAAGATTTATTATTAACCTTTTTTACCTAGAAGTGAAACTCTTGAGGATAAGTATTTCTTCTGTGTACATGTGAGAGACAACATTATGATTTTGTCCAGTCCCATTGTTTGTTTTTTTTAATCTTAGAAAGTTTTCTTTTGAACCTTGGTATTATACTTCATAGTTTAATGTGAACTTCTCCTATTAACTGCTTTAGAAGGTAGTCATTAGTGGTAAAAACTGGAATATATTTTATTTTACTTCACATTAGGGAAGTAATGTGATTGTTTTT